TGTTCTTGAGGTCTGGAGGAGATGGCCTCTGCCCTTGTTCATGAGCTTGCTGAGACACTCAGGTGTCATTCAGAGAAGGTTTAAAGCCTCCACTTTCACTGCCCTCTGTCCTGCTTTGTTTTACCCCTGAAGGCCTTTTGAAATACTCTTCCCTTGGTCTCGAGCTCCAGGACCATTTCCCTCTAGAGAGTCTGATATTATCCTATAGATCTTATAGATAATAAGTCTCTATAGGGACTGGGAAAATGGGACCCAGGGATGGGGTGAGTCAGAATCTACTTCCAGAGGAGGCAGAGGAGGGCACAGGGATCTTGCCTCCAAGTAGAGACTTTTCTGCTAGTGTTTGTTGCAAGACTACTTGTAATGCCAGTCCCCATTTCCTTATATTCTCTCCTCCTCCATCTCACCTCTACCCATGGACTGAATCTCTCCCCGTTTATGTTTGGAAGCCCTAATCCCCAAAGTGACTCTGATGGAGACAGGGCCTTTCTTTATAGAAGCAATTAAAGGAAGAAGCCTTGGCCCCATGGGATGTTGGTGTTATAGAAAGGCATACTACCATGAGGCCAGTGGCAAGGTGGTAAGCTGGAATCCCCATCCCAGGGTGTGGATCAGGTATGGGAAAGTTCTGTGGAAACTACAGTTGCCCTGTGCAGGTCAGCTGGTTCCCTTCTCTTAGGATGCACTGCTGAGCTGTAGAGGTCTTGCTGAGTGCTCACACCCACACACCAGTTCCAAGAAAAACAAAGCGATGGGGCTCATGTGGTTTCATGACTCACATTGGCCACTCTTGCCAAGTATTCAAATCCTGTGGCTAGAGGAGTTGAGCCATGCTTTCTGATTATTCAACTGTTTGCTGACTGTGGCCTCAAACTGTGAGTTGCATGAAGTCCTCTATGGTCCAGAAGAAGAGACAGTGGACCTGAAGATGTGTTTCAGGATGGTCCCACTGCTGGACAGTGGAATTTCTAGGATATAAATGGGGAGGTTGTGAGGGATGGGATGTTCTGGTCTGGGAGAGAAGAGGACACCCACTCCTGATTGGAGAAGAACAAGGAAGGGCTGGAGATGCCAGGTAGGGGTCAGGAGAAATTAATAAGTGGATGTGAGGTGAGAATTGAAGGCATTTAAGGATCAGAGGGCAGATTAGAAAAAGGAGAAAGGAGAAAGAGAGAAAGCAGGCAAGAGGCAAAGCCTCAGAGGATGTCAGTGCTGGGGACGTCTGTGCTGGGGTGGTTTTTACCTTCATTGCCACTCAGGATGCTAGCGGGAAAGGAGTTGGAGGGTCCGAGAGAGGAGGCAGTCACGGTTAAGCAAAGAGCACACGGGAAAGGGTGACGTTCTTGGCTGGGGTTTAAACAGCAGCCGTTCACCTTTGACATAGCTCTGCTCTGAGGATAGAAGTCCAGGATCAAGAACCTGCATGGCTGAGAGCTGAAAAGGCCCAGAGTGATTCACTCAGTTGCCAAACTGAGGCTTAACCTCTGGTTTTATTATTTACATGTCAATGTGTGTGTGTGTGTGTGTGTGTGTGTGTGTGTGTGTGTGTGTGTGTGCATGTGCACATGCGTGCAAGTCTGTGTGGGTGCATCACATGTGTACCTGTGTATGTGGAGGCCAGAGGACAATCTTGGGTGTTTTTTCTTCAGTCACAGTCCATTTTCTTTTGGTTTTTTTTGAGGCATTTTTTCCCCCACTATCTTGAAATCCATCGAATAGGCCAGGCTTGCTGGCTAGTGTGTCCCAGGGACTCACATATCTCCAGCTCGCCATTGCTGGGATTATGAACACATTCCACCACACCCGGCTTTTTAATGTGGATTTTGGGGACTGAACTCAGGTCTTCATGCATGCAAGGCGAGCAACTTACCACCGAGCAGTCTCCTGAGGCTTACCTCAGTTTAGCATCACACGTGGAGTGTAAGAATTTCCATTCTTGACTGTCACTGCTGGGCCCTCTTCATCCATCCTATTAATCCCCAAGTAACACTGATGCCCAAGTCAACAGTATCTACGGCTGTACTGCCTAGAGGGTCTGAACCTGTGTGGTTCCGTGAATTGTCTGGGGAATGGATGGCCTTCGAACCCTGGTTCTTCCTATTGTCTCAGGGGAACTTCCTGAAAGGCACTGATCTGGGCCTTTGTCACTTTGTGAAGGGGTTTCCAACATAGAGAGCCATCATCTCCCTCATCATTCGTCCTTTTTGCCACTTTCTGAGTGCTTACTGTGTGCCAGATGTTATGTGATGGAAGCTCTGGTCTGAAAGATGTCCCCACCTCCAGTTCATATGCTGTAGTACTAACCTCGAGAGTCTCAGAGCATGGCTGTTTGTATCTAAAATCTTTAAAGAGGTGATTAAGTGGAATGAATCCTTAAGTCTGAGTCTAACAGAGGGGTGGGTCCAGGGAGCCTTGGAAAGTGCTGACTTCCAGACCTTAGGTTAAAGGAAAGAGCTTTTTGGAAGAGGTTACATGAGAAGGGGTTGGCAAAGCAACAGAAGTCAGCCAATGCAAGCCCATCGGTTTTCTTCTCCTTATTTGTGGACCAGGAAACTGGTGCCCAGAGTGGTGACAGGAACATGGTTGGACTGCATGTGTCAGTCCTGATGCATGAGGGAAAAGATCTTGGAATCCAGATTCAGATCCCAGGAGCCCAGGGGGAGTGTCCCAGCTCCCTTCCCAACTCCATCACTTCGCAAACAGGGCATGAGACCAGGGTGAGACACTCTGTTTCCAGATGGGAAGAAAATTAGGTGCTCCCCATTTCCTGGATTTCCTCTTGTACGGTGCCTGCTCCTGAGGATTCCCTGTGTCTGCTCTTCCCAGTCATGGTGCTAACCCCTCATCCTGGAGCCGCCTTCTCCTTGCCTTGAAGGTTGACACTTCCTGTCCAGCATCCTCTTCCAGGAAGTCAGTCCCGGAACCTCAGTGCATGTACAGCTACAGCTGGGATCCTTTCCCTCTGCACATTCACCATGCCATGATCTGCTTGTCTGTCATCTCTAAACTCAGCAGACTGCAAGCTTCAAAGGGATGATGGATGGCCTTGCCACTGCATTTTCATGGAATCTGCCCAGCTTTTGAGATAAAAATACACAGCAATCAAATGTGTGGCTGTGTGATCTTACGTGAGACTGTGAATATGATACTATGTGAGTGTTCACGTGTGTGAGAAGATATGTGAGTTAGTGTGTTACTGTGAGTGTGTGAATGTGTATGTTTGAGTATGTACATGACTGTGTATGTGAATAAGTATTTGTAAGTGTGTGACCATGTGAGAGTGTGAGTGTACATATGAGTGTAATAAAGTGTGTGAGTTAGTGAATGTGTGTATATTTGTGAGTATGAGTACATGAATATGTAAGAGACTGTGAGAGTATGCGTGTGTGTGTGTGTGAGAATGAGTGTACCTGTGTGCAAGTGTGAAGCTATGAGTGTGAGACTGTGACTTATGTGAGTGCATATGTGTGTATTTTTGTGAGTTTGTGCATTTGAGTGTGTGCATATGAATGTGTTAATGAGTGCATCAATGTGCATGTGTAAGCAAGCAAGAGTGAAAGTGTGCTTGTGTGTGCAAGTGTGTGAGCAGGAAAGCATGACTGTATGTTAGTAAGTGGCGAGTGTGTATGAGTACCTGGGTTAGTTTGAATATGTGTGAAAGTGTGAATGTGTGTTAGTATGTTAATGTGAGTGTGTGTGAATTCATTTGTCAGTATGTGTATTGATGTGTTAGTGTGTATGAATGTGTGAGTGTGTGTTTGAGTGTATGCGTGTGACTGAAATGGTGACTATATGTTGATGAGTATGAGGAGATATTAGTATGTGGGTGGATATCAGTGCATCAGTGTGTGTAAGACTATGAGGTAGAATTTATGTTGTTGAGTGTGTGAATATGTATTTCTGAATGTGACTATGAGTGTGCATACATGAATGTGATGTGTTTTTGAATGTGTGGGTGTGAGAGTAAAAAGTAGAGGTATGTAAGCATCTGAGTAAGAAAGTATATGTGTTAATGAGGATAGTGTGAACCTGTTGTGTACACAATCAACTGAGTGTATGTAAGAAAGTGTGAGTTAGTGAGTGAGTAAATGTGTGTATGAGCATGTGAGCATGTGTGAGAAAATGCAGTTGGGTGTGAGTGTAAGTCTGTGAGTGTGACTGATTATGAGTGTTAATATGTCTGAGTGTAGAAGAGCAAGTGAGTGTACAAGTGTGAGTAACTGAGTGTGTGAATGTGTGTTAGTGTGGATGCAATGTGAACAGACGGTAGAGCCTGGTCTGCTGTCTGCTTCTGTCACCGTTCCTCCCCACGGTGTCAGACTACATCCCTACTTACCTCCCCGTGGTGTTAGACTACATCCCTACTTACCCCTGAGCTGGAGCTGCTCCCCGACTCAGTGCCTTGATCAGTGGTCATAGCAGTGAGGAACTAACACAGTGCTGTTAGTCACAGTACTGGAAAACCAGAAGTACTAGAGTGGTGTTCAGTAGCAGGGCCTGGCGGGAGAACAGTGGTTTGCTCACATATGACACTCTGTACCACCATAAAGACTGACCACAGCTGAATACGAGATGGGGGACTCTCTAAAACTTCATGGTGAATGGAAAAATGAGACGTGACATGAATTCCAAACACACAGTGTTGTAAACAGTCTATATGCTCCTCAAAATGCTAAACCCCGAGATACCAGATCAGGCCTCTCTTTCACTCCCAGGTCTTTGCCCCGAAGAATTGGAAACACGCATGCACAAAAAGATTTTCTGTGAATATTTATAGCTGCATTCTTCATAACAGCTGGAACAGGAACATCTTAAGTCCATCAACAGATGAATAGGCAAACAAAATGTGGTATAGCTAGCAAATGGAATATTAT